GAGAGGGTCTCATGTAGCCCAGGATGGCCTTGAATTCTCTATGTGGCTGAGGATGACCTTTAGCTCCTGATCCCCCTGCCTCCACCTCAAAAGTGTTAGAATACAAGCATGTACTACCATGCTTGGCAACAAAATATAGCTCCTTCATTAAGCAAAGTAACAGGATAATTGGAAAGCCTTGAACCTAATTTAGGAAGAAAGGGAGAGAAAGAGACAGACCCTTGAAAGGGTACATAGAGAGACTCTGTCTCAAAAGAAAGAAGGGGGGACTGAGCAGCAGTCATTGTGACTTCTTAGACACCGCCTTAGCCTTTTTTGCCTCCTTGGCAGTCCTAATAGCTTGTTCTCCCTGAGCTTATATGACTGAGGTATACCAGTGATGGCCACTGGAATTTGATTGCACAATGAGTTTTTGTCTTTTGAATTGCTTTCTGCTGTCCCTTTTTGTGTGTTCTGTAGAGGACAGTCCAGTTTCCTGCCAAGGATTCCTCTTGAAAAGGAACTCAGACTTGCATTTTGCATCAAGAAACTGGAAAACCTTTCCTTCTGACCTGGCATAGCATCACCCTCAAACAGGGTAGATCTTGTACCCATTTAAAACTGCAAAGCTCGACCTTCATGGTGGGAACTCACTGCAGGGAGGAGGTGAGGGAGATGGTGAAGAGCCCCCATGGCTTTTTGACTATCAATAAACTATTTCCTATTGCTCCTTTAACAATCTGCATGCAACCAAATATCAAACTGTTTGTGTTAGCAAGTTTTCTATCTTGCTACCTTTTTAAAACGCTCTGACTCAACCTTAGGAAATTCTTTTGCCTCTGCTGCATGACTTTTCCTGGGGTGATATCAAGGAATGTCTACTTACCACAAATAACAAGGGCACCAACAGACCAAAAACCAAAGAAAGAACTCTATCCAAAGCCAGCTTGGTGAACAGTAAGTTTATTGGGGTTGAGAAGAGCATAGTAGGTACACAAAGTCCCACCCTTCAGCTGCCTACCTCTTTTATAGTAGCAGTTGCAGTCTTGGGGAGGAGCATCCTGAGGATCTCCTGAAGATCTCCTGAGTCTTATGGAGTGTTAATAGGCCACATCTCTCAAGAGTCTCACAAGGGGTCATCACTGCCACTTGGCTTCAAGACCATGATCATGTCCAACCCAGAGGAAACAGCTACAGCACAGGCCCATGGGGTTCTATATTTAGTCAGTGTTCTTTCAAGAGGTCTGCTTTCTGGATTACAACAGCAGAACCATACAGCTGGCCTAGAACTCACTACATAGACCAGCCTGGCCTCTCACAGAGATCCACCTGCTTCTGCCTCCTGAGTGCTAGAACGAAAGGCAGGTGCTATTTCTGTTCAGACTTAAAATTTATTTACATACTTTCTGAAGACTTCTACTTCTGGCAATATGATGGACCAGAAATGCTTAGCAGTCTCTTAAAAAAAAAAAACAAACAAACAAAAAAAAAAAACACTAGCCTCCTCAGCACCAAAAAGAATTCAAATATACAGATGGCATAATCATATGAAAAGCTGATACATATCACATGTCATCAGCAAATTAAAAACAAGATTAAACACTTATTAAGGCTGACTAAAATCCAGAACATTGACAATACCAAATGCTGACAAGGATAGGAGAAACAGGAACTATCTATTGCTGGCAAGAATGCAAACTAGTACAGCCACTTTGGGAGATAGTTCAGTGGCTCCTTATAGAACTGAATATATTTTTAGCACTCAATCCAAAAAACCACGATCCTTAGTATTTACCCAAAGGAGTTGAAAACATGTCCACACTAATCTGCACATGAATATTTAGAGCATCTTTATTTATCTTTATTCCAAAACTTGGAAGCAACCAAGATACTTTTCAGGAGGTAACTAAATAAACTGTGTTATGTCCAGGCAATGGAATATTATTCAGTGTTAAAATGTAATGGGTCATGAGAAAACATGAAGGAAGCTTAAATCAATGTTACTAAACAAAAGATGACAATTATAAAAGGCAAACTATGTGACATTCTGGAAAAGGTTGAAGCAGTGGTTTCCAGGGACTGGGGGGAAGGGAGGGATAAATAAATAAGGGCAGAGGATGTCTAGGGTGCTGAACCTATTCTGTATGGCTCTATACAGAGGATGCACATCAGGGCAACCCCCAGAATATACAATTCCAAAAATAAACTTTAATGTCAACCTCCAGCTCCGGGTGACAATGATGCATTAACAGAGTTTCATCTATTGTAACAAAGGGGGAAGGATGATGAAGGTGGGAAGCATTTCATTTGGGGAGTATATGTTATTATATTTATTATTATTATTATAATTGGATGAATCTTAGGTATGGTTATATAGAGGGGAGTGGGAAGGGGAAGTTGGGCATGGATATGATCAATATACATCCTATAAATGTATAAAATTATCAA